CCCTTTGTGTCTCTCTGGGAAGATGTTCTGCTCCTGAATCAGCTGGGTGGGTCTTGCCTCTAGCCTCTTTGCAGGGAGTTCTGCTGAAGGATTCCTCTCTGGGCCTGCACTCTGGGTCGAATGAGGATCCGCGGCCCCGGGCAGTCTCACTCACTCTCTGGGCCTGTGCTCTGAATCTATTCAGGATCCAGCGGGCCCCTGGTCGTCTCAGTCACTCACCGTGCCTGGGCCTGGGGTCTGGGTCTATCCCAAAGCTTTTAAGGTCGTTCATAAGACTGGGTGTGTGTGAGCTGATTCTTCCTCCTCTTCTTCCTCTTCATTTTGTTTTTGGTCTGTCTTCACTACAGAACAGTGACATAATTTTGGCCATTGGTTAAGCATTTGTGAAATATCATAATCACTTTCAACCCCTTTATTCCTTTTTTTAAAAATCCCTCTCTCCTTGATCTCTGAAAATCTTCTCATTTCCTGTCATCTCACTTCAATTCTATTCGTTGATATTTCAGGTTTCTCATATAGGAGAAACTATGCATCTCATTTTTTGAGTTTAGCCTTGATATTGTGTACTTTTGTATAACTTTAATTTATGCAAACTAACTATGTATAAGTACATAGATAAAAAAATCTAGAAGAAAATGGACCAAAATGTTGCCAGAAATCATAGTTAAGTGGTAGAATTATAGGTGATTTTTGATTTTGTTCTTTATATTTTTCCCATATTTTCTTCTCTGAATATCTTTGTAAGGCCTTCTGTGTCTTATATATGTCTAAAGACACATTTATATAAAAGTACTTTGGAAAATTGTCTAGTAATCGGTTTTCCTTATATTTAGGTTCATTAAAGCTGTGAATGTTACAGAGAGAACCAACTGCTGCATTTTGTCTGCGTTGCTCTTCCAGGTAAGGCTTTGTGTGTGTGCTCTCCTGTAATCCTGCGGCCGTTCATTCATCTGCAGTTTGCCACATGCATAAAACTCACAGGCAGGAAAATAGCGTGAGCCCTGGTTATATGTCACATCTGACTCCCCCTGGTGGCACCTTCCCCTTTACCATTCAAGTGTCGGCTTTCTTCTTTAACCGAAGGACTTTAGCAGATAGGGAAACTGAGTCGTCTGTCCTGAGGAAGAGCAGTGTGAAGCCAGTCTGCCTGGCTCCAGATGGTCGCCTTAGGTTATCCCATCTCTAAATAAAGTTCTGCTCACTTACATGATGTAAAATATATAATAAAGGTGAGAAATAAGTCAAAGACTACAGAAGAATGTTTGGATTTGACTGCTGTGTAGAAGAAAGGAGCTTTTATCTAAAATATAAAGCATTCTGAGATTTAGGGGTGTAGCCAGGAGCCTTTGCAGTCTGCTAAAGATTCTGTTTACTTTGACAGATGAGCAGACATCATTGTGTGTATCAGAGAGGCTGACGGCTTCTGAGATCTGGGCAGATGAATTCTTGGTGAAGCCTTCTCTGAATGTAAGGCCAGACCTTGGAATTTTCTTGTGTTCCAAATACCTCTTCCTTGAGCTTCAAAGGGAAGAGCAGAGTGGCAGGGGTGTGAGGAAGTGGAGAGTGAGTCCCTCCATATGCTGTATTCTTTTTTTCCCACAACTCCTTGCTCTTGAAGAAGTGCTGCTCATAGTCTAGAAGATAGGTGCTTTGTTTAGAGAAGTTGAACTTCTGTTTAACGTGCACATTATGTAATGCTATGTTATGAATGCTACGTTAGTAATGCTGTATCTAAAATTAAAATTTGGTAGTGGAGTTTTCTGTTAATTGTTTTCATGCTTTCTAAAGCAAATTTGTGAAATTAAAAATTTCAGTACATTCGTAGTATTTTAAAACAGGATATCTTGTATCCCTTACAAGCAATTTGATTGAAATTCTTTCCTGATACACATGTTAAACTTATTTTACAATGCATTTGTCATCAAGAAATGGTAATTACTTAAGATTACAAAATGAACATTTCTAAATGCATTCATCATGTTACCCTATCACCCAGCTGGTCACATAAACTACACAGTAAACACAGGTAAATTTAATAAATCATTCTTCTATTTGAGGCAGTTAAAATTTTGGAATTATCAATGCCTACTTTAGACTTCAGGTTATCATTTTCCCTACTTACATCCTGGCATAGTGAACAACAGATTTTTGAGTGACGTAGATGTGACTTGAGTCTTTTTTTTTTTTTTTTTTTTCTTGCCACTCTTGACTGTGTGGACACAGATAAGTTCATTGTTTAAGCTTCAGTTATGTAATTTGTGAGATAACAACCCTTCCTTCTGAAGATGAATGAGGTGAGCATTGAGGAAGTGAGGTAATGTTTGTAAAGAACCTTAGCCTGGTGCAGTGGTGCATGCTGTAACCCAGGCCCTTGAGAAGCTGGGGCAGGAGCATGGCCTTGCGTTTGAGGCCAACCTGAGCTATGTAGTGAATTTCAGCCCTCTTGGACCACATAGTGAAACCCTATTGCAAAAAATAGAAGGAAAGAAGGGAGGGATGGAAAAAAAGATGAAAGAAAGGAAATAAAGAAGGAGTGAAGGAGAGAGAATCTAGCAGCAGTGTGCAGCACAGTAATGAATAATTTCTTGAAAAATGGTAAGTGTACACTGCTGTGGAATTTCGAAAGCCCATCCCAAGTGATAAACGCATGTGGAATCTGTAATGACAGTAACCAAATCACCTAATAATAAGTGTTGTTTATTATGGAGCACAGTGTGCGAGGCACATATTCAGCAATTTAGAGAGTGGTCCATAGACTTATTTCTGTTTCATCGTTGGATGCAGTTGACAGGTCTTTATTTCACTGTTTCCTTCTCAGGGTTTACTTCGAACGACACTTCCACATCCCAAGGCTGAACATTGCTATGCTCAGTACGAAGTCACACAGCTCCTCCCAGGCATTGAGCTCTTCTCAGATAGCTACCGGGCTGACATCTGCTCTGTCGTTGCCAGTTTATATTTCATTATCCGTGAGCTGCACTTTGTGAAGCACAATCTAATAGTGAGTGATTTGGAAAACCAGCTCTTCATTCACTGTGCTGCTTTCCCTTCTTACCTTATACTTTTCAAGTTTTGTTAATGTTGTTTTGGTCATTTCTGGCTTAAAGTTTTAAAATCTCTCTCTCTCTCTCTCTCTCTCTCTCTCTCTCTCTCTCTCTCTCTCATCTTTTTGAGACAGAGTTTTGCTATGCAGTTCAGGCTGGCCTTGAGTTAACTTTGTAGTCCAGGCTGGTTTTGAACTCAAAAGGATCCTCCTGCCCAAGCCTCCCGAGTGCTGGGTATCACCACACCCAGTTTAAAGATCTCTATATTCTTATCTGTATTTCAAAATAAAACATATTCATTAATAATTTTGCTTTGTCATCATTGTTTGCCTTTCCCGTAGAGTGCAAAGGAGGTGTCTAATTGTTTTTATTCTTGCTTTTAGTCCGATTTCACTTTCCATTTTTCTAAGACATGTGAAATTGACTAGGATGTGGCGTTGATGTCAGAACTAGGAGACTCAGTGCCCGGAGCGCACCGTGCTGAGTCCTGCAGCTCTTCTCAAAACCTACGCTGTGAGAATATTTCCCTACTGAGATCAGTTGCTGGCTCTGACCGTGAGGGAAAAGGCAGATGGGTTTCAGAACCTTGGGAAATCCGTAAGCCCGAACACACAGCTCTCTTTCGTTAAGGGCAAGAAATCATGGCATCGCTCATAAATTTGAATTTGGCTGCATTTTAAAAATGAATTAGTATGTTCTATTGGTCATTCCATATTTTTCTCATTTAACTTATTCTATTGATTTCCTTTTCTTGTCCTCTATTTTTTTCATCTTTTCCCCATTCGCTTCTTGATATTATTCTTTCATTTTTCTGCTTTTTTATTTTTCCTTCCTAACTTTCATAATTACAATCTTTTTTTCCATATCTTTTTCTGAATTGTTTTCCTATTCCTGGCATATTTGTGTTGGTTTTAAAAATCCAATTTAGTATATTAGAAATATTTATTGCCCCATGAAGAGTTGTTAAATTATAAAACCATTTATTAAAGTGAAAAAGTTGATAAATGCTTTTAACTTTGGGCAGATTTGGTAAGACATTATTTATTAAAACAATAATATAGTAGAGCTTCTCTCCCTGTTAAAGGGATTCATTTCTGGCTCGAGGGTGTGGCTGTAGCCCCTAGGTAACCTTTAGCTGCCTGCTCACTTCGTGTATAATATAGGTCACTGCATTGTAAAAGAAACGAGACTTTGTTCTCTCTCTGAAGCATAAGAAATTGTGAAGTTTTTTTCTGATATGAGCAATTGGCTGCAGTGAAATGATGTGTTTTTATCTCTCACTAAAGAAACGAAATCTCAGAAGTTATCATGAACTCCTAATGTTGCTGAATTAGTTGTAGAAAAAGGTTTTGTGTTTATGTTTATGGTGCATAATTGTAGAAAAATGTATTATGTTGGAAGCCATTTAAGGCTATTTAAATCCTTTTGAAAAGTGGCTGCTGTTACCAGCTGCCTCTCGACCTACTGTTATACAAACTTACCAGAAGCGAAGTCTCCTTTGTGTCCCGTTAACCTAGGAGAAGCCCAGTGGCAAGGAGGCTTTTGTCAAACAGAAATTTTCTCTGGGCCTTAGAGCCCTGGGAAACAGTTCGCTGAACAAAGAGGATCTCCAGCCTTCTGGCTCCTTCTCCCTTGGTAGGGAGCTGCAGGAATGGAGCTTCAGGTTTGAGTTGTGGTCTGAAGGGCTTTTTTCCCCTTTCATATATTGTTTTCTATTCTCCTGGCACATTTGTTTTTCTAAATTCAACTCTCACTTAGTAATGAAAATATAAAGGCAAACCTTTGCTCGCTCTGAGTAGATAGTGGCTAGGTGAGCTGAAACGCTAGGTAGTCTAGGAGCCTTCAGTAGATTGCCCAAGGCTGCATGAAATACGGAGCTTTGGGTTTAATTCTGGGAAAATATTGTGTGGAGAATAGGTTGGGTTTTAATCAGTAGGATATATGCTATATAATGTCTGGGACTTGTTATATTTTCTGTTCTTGCTTAACAGTGCATAGCCCATCAGAGGCATATTGTAAAGAGGCTTTTGCCAAAAGAAAAATTCTAATTAAAAAGCAGCTGACACTGAGAAAAGTCAGTAACAGCTTGCCAGGGGACACGAATGTGACTTCTTTTGCTTAGACTTTGCATAGGTTTGATAGCTCATTTGCTAGCATTTTCTCCACAGGCCTCATACATTTAGGTTAATTTTTTTCAAGAAAATAATTAATAGGCTTTTAACTTTTCTATGCTTAAAGGGATGTCAAACCTAGGCCTGGTTTACTAAATGGCATCTAGTTGACACCCTAAGTCTCCTATAACATCTTAATCTGATAAAATCATGCAGCATATATCAGAAAGATCATTTGCCTTATGCCAGTTTGGTCTGCCAACATGGAAACTCTTCAGTACTTTACACAGTATGCCCTACATTTAATATTTAGCTCAGTTTGATTATTAGATTATTGTCACCGGATTATTATTAAAATGTATTTTCTTCCGGTAGGTTCTGCCTCTCCTTGCATTGTATCAATATTTTGTTTCTGGAATTTGCCAAGACCTAGTTAGAAACCTAGAAGCAAGGATCCTTAAGGTATGTTATAAACTTTAAAGACATTTGATATTAGCTATGAAGGGTATTGTTCTTTGTTAATTTGATTCTAATACTCAGAATAATAAGTGATAATAACACAGTGTTATGTGGATATAAAAAATGACTTACCCATCATAACAGTGTTGAATAGCTACTCTACAGTTGAGGCCCACACACCAGCTGGAAGCTGGGTGTCACTGTTCTGAGAATGGCTTCCTCACAGAGACTGAACGAGGCTGTGTTCTGGATTTTTTGAGGTTATTTATGATATTTATGTACAAGGGGTGGCCAAAATTACAGTGAATGTTAAAATTAAAAGAATATTATAATAAAAGACACATTGACATTAATCCTCTCAAAAAATGCCCCCGTTCTTTAAAAACACATATCCCATCATTCTTGTCATTTTCTGAAGCAGCTCTGGAAGTCCTTTCATGAAGGTTTTGATGAGATGTGGTGCAAAATTTGGTGAATGCTGCCGCCAAGTACCATCCAGTGGAAGGGTTCTGGGCTGCTAAGCACATGGTGGGGCATACATCCACCTTCCTTGCCAGATCTGGTATTGTGCAGCTTCTGGTTTCTCCTCAAAGCTGAAATGAGCATGACAGACAGGTAGCCATTTTGGATTGATCGAGGACACTGAGGCATCTTGACAGCACAGCTAACACTCAAGTAAACGATGTTCCAGGACAGTTTCAGAAAATGGAAAGAACAATGGGATAAGGTGTTCGAAACAAGCGTAGATCATTTGAGGGAGACTAATTGTCTTTCACTGTAATAAATTTTTATAATTTAAACTTTCACATTTTCAGGTCATGCCTCATTTACCATGATATGCAGCTGATTTTCAGTGGATAGGCAATTCAGTTACTAAGACCAGAAAATGCATTCTATAACCCAGGCATTGCTTAGGGTTCTCTGCCCTAAGAGTCACACGCTATTGACCTGAACCCCACGTGGAGTGGAGTGGGGTTCGCTGCCTGTTTTCCTTGTCACTTGTGCTGCAAGCCTCTTGGTCTTATTTTGTACCAGGTCGTCTCAGCATCCAGCTGTCTCTACCTCTCCTGTGCCTCTTTAAGTCTAACGTGGAATCCCCTGCCTTATTCCTTTTCCCTGTTTTACTCCTACATCAATGCACACAATATATTCACCCAGGGCCTTGGTTTCTGTAGTGCCCTTTGCTGAACATTGAGGAAACAGGGAAGTTTAAGCTGAGGTAAAACAAACCATTTAAAGCAAGATATCGCACATTCTTGAGCTAAAAATATTTTTTACCTCTCATCTCACTGTGTAATCTATATATTGGTAAATGTTTCACAGTGAGCTCTTTAGAAAAAAAATGATTTAAGGCTTTGAAATTTTCCAAAGGGTGTAAGTCCTCCAACTGTGACTGATTCAAGCTACTCACTCACAGATGTCCCTGGAGATGCACAAGGGACAGAGATGCCCGAAGAGCACTTGCAAGTGGAGCAAGTCGGCTACAGCACATCCCTCTAGTGCGCCTCTTTCTCTGCTTTTGGACATTCCATCTATCTTCCCCCTAAATCCCTCCTGTTTCTGAAGAGGGGAAACTAGAGATGCTCCTGAAGCACTGTCTCCATCCAAGCCCTGCGGGCTTATGTAAATAGTCCATTGAATTCTAATTCTAAATAAAAAAGTCTTAAGAGGACTTAATAAATAATTCATTACTGACTGTGAAAATTTCTGGTTCACCCTCTCTGAGTTACTGATTCTCAACAGTGTCTTATTGTTGAATGTCAGCACTTAAAACTCTGTGTAACTTTTTTCTTTCCTATTCTCTCAACAGTGCCCTTTGGAATCCATAGTTCTTAAATCGAGGGCTGTGTCTTGCTCATCTTTTAATTCTCTCTACTGTGTTGAGCACTACATTTACATTCTTGATAGTCATTGATGAATGGTTATATTGAATTTAAAATTTGCAAGCATTTATCAGGTGCCTGTTGCCCGCATCGCTTCGGTGTTTAGTGGAACTCACCCATATAATAGCTGATAAGTACTCACTGATTTGACTCTGAGAGAACATTGGACCTTCTGTTTCAGAGTGCCATGTTAGTACCTTGAGTCTCATTCATGTAAACCATGGTTGTGTAAACCCTCTTATGTCAACTGGGAAGACAAACTGGACATGCACTAAGTTTGCAGTGTGTGGACCTGTCCCTTGCTCTTTGCACATGAGTGTGGCGAGCACTGTCTCTGGGTATGTGGAGGGGGGCAGCGGCTTTGAGGCTTTGGGTTTCACTTACTAGCTAAGAATATAGGCTTGAAAAGAGCACACATTACCAAGTTGGAGAGAAGAGGCAGGGAGTGTTGTTGGTGAACAACAGTGTAAAAGACACAGGGTAAGAGAGCACTGGTGTGGCGGTGGGTGGGGGTTCAGTTCTATTGGACAGAGGCCCTGGGCAGCGAGAGTGCAGATAACGTGAGGAACACCAAAAAGACATGATTCCAGGGTCCCGACCTGAATTCCAAACCATGAAGAAGCAGAACGTGGAGGTGGTGCAGTGAGGGGTGGGAGGAGACTGTGGAGTAAGAGTTGGCTAAGAAGAGTCTGCTGGTCTGTCACTAAGGGGGCTGGAGAAATTGCTGTTGCACATAGGGCGGAGACCCAGAAGGGCACCCAGGGACAGTTTGGAATAAAACTTTTGCTCAGGTTCCTGTTTTCATTGGCTTGTGTCAGTCTGCTTTAGGTTACTTCACCAGTTTGGGTAATGTGTGAAGAAAATAAGTTTACTTCTCATAGTGCCTGAGGCTGGGTGTCCAGGACCAAGGGCTTTATCTGGTGAGCATCTTCGTGCCACATCAGCACATGGCAGAGGGCAGCACTTGTAAGAGATCAGGACAAGTAGATGCAAGTCTCTTCCTCACCTTCCAAAGTCACTAATCCCAGTCCCACCCTCATGACCAAGTCTAATCTTAGCTACTTCCTGAAGGCCCCACTTTGCAAAATTATCGACCTGTCCTTAGGAGTTTTTAATTCATATATATATATATATTTTTTTTTTTTGAGGGGGTGGATACATTCAAGGCATAGCAATTTATTAGCATTTGGCAGCTGTTTGTGTACTGACATGGTTTAAAACCCAGTGAAAAACTTTGGCCTCTCTTCTGAAGTCTTGTATAGTGGGGGTGTTAGTTCCAGAAGTTTGATCAGGAGAATGACATGGTCAGATCTGGTGTCTAGTCTCTGCTTGGAGCACAGTGAGGCAGAGGCGGGATCCTGCTGGTGTAGTAGTACTGAAAAACCAGATTAGTGCTTGACAGTTGCAATCTAAAGGGCAGCTGACAGATCATGAAGAGAAAGAAATGACAGCTCCCGTGAGTGGAGTTTGCCTGACCTTTCTGAAGTAAACTGGGGTCAGTGAGTGGAAAAAGAGAAAAGTCAGAGGCAGGAAATCACGAGCAGTGATGGTTTCTGACAAGTCGAACAGCGGCAGAGCATGCTGTTAGCTTTCTATGGTACACTAGTGGCTCTCGTGGAAAGCTGTTAAGTCCTCTTTATGAGCAACTGCCAGCCTCTTCAAAGAGTTAGAATTTTCAACATATCAAATGTTCCCAGGAAGGGTACTGATGGCTCTGTATTTGTATGAATGAAGACTTGATTTATAGCTAGCTATTTTTGCCATCTGAGTTGTTTGTGTTCACACTGTTGGTCACTTCTGAAAATATTGTGTCTGTTATCACCACCATCATTTTGTCAGTGTCTTGATTGGCATGATACACTGAAATCAGACATAGCCTTGTCCGTCATTTGCAGTCTGAATTCACCAACCTTAGAGTCAAGACCACAGAGACTAACTACATACAGATCTGGGGGTTTTCTTGTAGGGACCCTGAGGAAGTGGTCATCTAGAAACCTGGAAGGGTTCCCATGTCTCTAAGTGCTTTCATCCTATATGGCCATGGGAGGTTAGAGGCCAAGGTGCCTAAGGTGAGCAGCTCAGTGTGCAACTCGATAGACAAGCAGCCTTCTCTTTCCCTTTAAAAATCTTCTTCTGACCATTTGTGTTTTATTACCATGTTATTTTCGTATCTAACTTCCTCCAACTTATCTTCTTTTTATTTTATTTTGTACACTCTTGGGATTCCTAAGTAAGTATGGAAAGGAAACGAGAGAGTAAGATGGATTGATATGCTGAGGAGCTATTGATTTTTCTTTTGAAATGCTGTATCTACATCCATACCTATCATCTATATCATCTGTATCTATTTCACTCAGTTGTGTGTTTGATTCCCTGTGTCAGTATTTATGTCTCACTTCTTTGTTCTCTTTAATAAAATCACTAGGTGTTTTTAAAACATAAGTCATGTCAGACTCCTGTTGATAACCCTGAAGTAACTTCATATCATGTAGAAAATACAATGCAAATTCTCTACTGTAGTCTAGAGGCTGTATATGACCTTCCCTGACTCCCTTTTGTACCTACCTCCTAATTCTTTTCTAGAATCCTGAGCTCTAACCACATGGGCTGTTTCTGGAACATTCCAGGACACCACAGCTGTCCTCTGCAAGGGGGAGGGGTGCCCAGAAAATATTCACATGTCTGTCTCTCTGACATCATTCCCAACTCTTCTCTTGAAGGGCTTCTCCTCACACAAGTACTTCCGGTCCTCAAAGTAGCTTTTTCTCAATGCATTCAATGCCCTGGCTGTCTTATGCTGTGTGCAACATCATGCTTCACTTGCATTTAGCTAAATATATATAGCAATGGCTGTAACCTTCAAGACAGCTTAGTATCAAGAGGTACTCAGTGAGCATGTTGGATGAATGAAAGAATGTGAGTGAGCATTTTTTCCCACCATTTCCTGGTTGATGTTCCCACTGGATTATATTAAGGTATGCATGTAAAATGTGTAGTTGCTCATTAATGTTGATAGTTGCATAGAGAGTATATGTTTTTCAAATTGAAAGTATATGTCTTTATTCATTATGGATGGGGAAATTAGTAGGTTTTTATGCCTCTATATTTGAAGTTCGTATAGTGGTTCCCTTGAGTTTCTTAGAGCACTCAAGAACTGAGGAGTGTTGCTGTTACTTTGGTACTAAGCCACAGTTTTCTGTGGGAATGAAGAGATAAAGTCATCATTTTAAAAAATGTTTCCATGACTATCATCTCTTTACATGCGCTCCTTCGGTGAAGTAAGCACCACCCAATCAATGCTGATCAGATTTTAGTCCACGGCTCATAGGAGCTGGGACACACCCCTTATACACCACCCCACCCACTCATGAATTAGTGAGTATTGATTCACAGTACATTATAATCTCCCTGCAGAAATTTTTTTTTTTGTATTTTATTTGTGTTTTAGGGAAGGGTCTACAGGGTGTTTAGGGTCTCACTACTAAATCAGACTCGTAGTGATCTGTTTACAGCCTCCCAAGAGCTGGGATTATAGGTGCATGCCTCCATGCCCAGTCTCAATTGCCATGGGACTGAACCCCTGGCCCCTGCACCTACTTGCAGGTGCTTTAATCCACTGAGCTATTTGGCTAGCCCTCCCTGCAGAAATTTTGGATCTTAAAAGTTTATGATTTTTCTCTAATTATTTTTATAACTTAAAATCTCTTCCTTCATTTACAGATAGAAGTTCTCCTTGATTTAGGCTTCTTTTCCGAAGCCTTTTCTGAGCTATCTCAGATTCTTTATGGGAAAAATATGCCTTGCGCAATACCTTCCTGCTGTAAAGCTCCTCAAAAATCTAAGGTAAGCAGGAAATTTGATTCAAAGCTATTTCTTTACCTCAGAGGGGGCAACAGCTTCTAAAACATGTGGCACATTCCCACAGAAGAATACTTAGTGTCAGTGCATCACAACTCTTTGTGACGTCTGGCCACAGGTAAGAACAGACTCATGGGATTTCATTGATGTGGAGTAGAAGGGACCTAAGGGACCACATGTGCTTCTAAAGTTTTGCAGTAGAATTGTGGCTCAGGGGTGCTGCTGGTAGCATTATAGTTGGGATGGACATGGGCTGGGGAGATAGCTAAGTAGAATAAGTGCTTTTCTGACAAGCGCAAGGGCCTGAGTTCAATCCCTGGTTCCGAAAAAAAGAAATTGCAGTCCCTGCACTTGCCTAAGCAGGCACTCTATAGCTGGGATGGACAGTCTCTTCAGACTATTTATCAGCTACCACTTCATATCTTTTGGTTATAACTTCTATTTAATGTTCTTAGTCGAAACCATCTCTCCTCATTTCTTATTTGGATCCTTTCCTAGTTTACATATTTTATGCTGTCAGTGTGTTAATGGTGTGCTGTTCAGGTATTTTCTGATTTCTGTGCAGAAAGAACATTTTTTGCCTGGTCTCTTTGAATTGAGATAGTTTTATCTAGGTCACTTAATTTCTGCTTGTTAACTGGATAGCTGAAGCACTCTTGGAAATGAATGCTGGAGTTTCAGTGACAGCGTGCATTAAGGCAGGATGAGCTATTATTTTCCTCTGCTTTGGTTTTTGTGGCGATCTGGGAACCACACTAGGTGATCTTTCTTCAGGCAGATGCTTAGAGTCAGTGTGGACCAGGAGTAACGGAGATGGGGAGGCAGAACTCACAGCAGCAGTGCGGACCTCACATGCGAGACGGCACGTGTGAGAGCAAGCATGCCAGGTGCAGTGCACACTGGCGGACTGGGGCAGGAGGGCCCACGGGAGGCAACGAGTCCGTGTGCGACTCATATCATATTTACATAGTGTTTCGTTATTTCAGTGTGTTCCTCTCAAATCCCTGCTTATCACTGCTCCATGTGACTGCAGTGGCATTGCCTTTACTACGACAGGAGCTGAGGATGTTGGGCAGAGGAACAGCGCTTGCCTAGCATGCCCAGGGTGGGCTTTGGATGCAATCCCCAGACTGAGAAAAAACCCTGCGAAATTATTGTAATAGGTTACGTGTAAGAACACCTTAAGAAGGACATTCAGTGATCAATTATAAATTTATATAATCAATTATATATATGTATATGTATATGTATATATATAAAATATGGAGAGAACACATCTGTGTATTATAAATAGTATATGTGTGTGTGTGAGTGTATATATATTTATCTGTCTGTCTACCCACCTATCTGTCTAGAGAGAAGCGAGTTAGTTATTTCATTCATTTTGTGTGGTGCAAAGTAATTTGTCTTCTTACCAGGTGTCAAGTTACTGGCATTTTCTTGTTTGTACCTCTGCCGGTAGCCATTTTCTATTAACGTTCTACTTTAATTTATTTATGATACTTACTGAGTGCTTGCACAATGCAGGCAGATTCCAGGAATGAGGATCGAGCAGTAAAAAGTCAAGCAGAGCTATCGCGTTCCTGGAGCTTATAGTCCAGTGAGAGGGGCAAGCGGTGGACACGCAAGCACAGCGGGTTCCCAGTGGGGCGGGGCTGTGCTGTCCAGCCAAGCCAGGAAGAACAAGAGTGACCAGGGCCATGTGTTACTCTTTTGTTGAGGATGAGGAATAAAATAAGGCAGTTTTGAGAGAGAGGAGGCCAAAAACTTGGGAGAACAGCCTTCCAAGCAGGAGGAACTGTGCGGGAAAAGCCTCGGAGGAGGGTGCCCACAAGACATGGTTGAGGTAAACCCTCTAGGCCAAGGAGGCTGCAGGAAAAGGGTGCAGGAGAGGAGGGACTAGGATTCAGGATCCAGGTGCTGAGTGACCTCCTCTGCCTTGCTGAGGATTTGAATGTTCTTGGAGCCAGCAGGGAAATCTTGTAGTTCTGAGACATGGCATGATAGGAGCTAAATATAAAACAACCACTTTGTTTACTGTTAGTGATTAAACGGTGGGTGGCAGTAGCCCAAATAGACTAATTCAAAGACGGTTCAGACATGGAAAATAGTCTGGCTGAGACACGACAGTGCTTGGGGTATTCACGCGTGAGAGGGTGAGGAGGACGTGGTGGCCCACTTCCAAGTACGGTGTGCAGAGAGAGCTGATAGCGCCTGCTCGAGATGCTTTGGGTGTGGAATGTAAGAGAGGTCAAGGATGACTGCAGAGTGCTCAACCTGGGAAAGAGGCTTCAGACCCTGAGACGGGAATGCTGCCCAGCCCTGTAGGGTCGGAGACACACAGTGGACAGCCAGGTGGATAGCCAGCAGAAATGCTCGGAACAGAGCATGCGCAGGTGGCGGGGTTCGTTTTGGAAGCATTAGTGTGCGCCTAAGCGTAGGACTGGATGCAGGCAGCTGGGAAGCAAGGCAGACAGAGAACAGAAATCAGCGAGCTATGCCTTAAGGTCATCCCCATTCAAAGGCCAGGAAGACGAGGAGGGCTGAGAAACCGGCTGGGTAGAATGGAAGATGCAAGGGTTTCTGATGGCCCCTGCTTTTACCAATCAAAATATCTGAGACTAATTTTTTTAACTTATAAATTCCAAACTTCATTTTAATCCACCAGCTTCCCACAATGAAGGTGTGGGTGAATTCTCTCTCGGTGGATTCTGGCTTCAAATTTTGTATTCTCAAAGTTAATTTGCAGCTTTCCAGCTTCAATTGGGAATTTAAAAAGTGTAATTAAAAGAGGAAATGCTTTCAAGGTTTATAATTAAAATAGGTACCAATGTTATTAGGCTGCAGGCCAGTTATTTAAGGAAGGGATTAATGAGTTAAGTTTCATTTGTAAAGGAAATAACTGAAAAAGTTTTATAGATTACTATTGGGCTTTTGTCATATCCCTTAAAAAAATCTATGCTCTAACATTATATCATTGTAATTTTGTTCTTACCACCAAATCTAAAATCTTGTTTATACAACCGAAAGATCCACCATGTCCCAGTTTCCATTACTAAATTTTCAGTGCATTACAAGCACTGTAGAATATCCTCAAGAAAAAATTTTAAGAAAGCACTCACCGATACTTTCTTTCAGTAAAAAACTCTATGTGATGAATTGGCTTGGGGATCCATCCAAAGCAGAGCCTGAGACAAGGATTTGGGCGTAAGTAGTTAGTGTCGAGGTGATGGCAGAAAGGGTGTTGAGTCAGAGGAAAGGCCACATGAAGAGGGTAAAGTGAATCCGGAGAGCATTAATGAGGTTACTGCCACGGGCAATCAGGTCCTTCAGAGAGTGAGGACGACGTGTCGCTTGTCCCTCACTGGTAAGGCTGGTTCTCCACAATAGATGCCCATTTATGGCCTTTCCTGAACAGCCTTCTGGCCATAGATTGCCCGCAGGCCCAGGTGTGTGGAGACTGTCGGGTGCGGGAGTAAGCTGTCCTTGCGAGCTATTGGTGGCTTCCTGCTGTCCAAGGAAAAATGGGAACAACATCAGTATTGATTTCTACAAATGAACATTTTGAGAAAGAGCTTTTTGTAACAAGAAAGATCGATTTTAACCCCAAAATACAACAGTCTTCTGTGTCAGATAATTATTTCCTGATTCTCTGTTATATTTAGAACCAAACACATTAACAGGTAGCTCATTGGAAAAAGAACCACAAAACAATAAAGCTGAATAGTAACACAATTTTGCATCAAACTAGCTGAGACCTTTGGGGGGTGGTGCTCAGTGCTGTCAGGAGTGTGCTCCTCCTGGCATCTCACATAGCACAGGGTGAAGTGAGTCTTCCTCTTTCAGTTTTCTCAATACTGTATATTCCTCTTTTGGCCCAGAAATACTCTGTCCAGGAACCCAAAGGGAATAATCAGAAATACAGACCAAACAGTCATCAACGGCATTTAAGCTGAGGCTGATATTTGGGGTGATGTTGGGAAGCTGCTCTCATAGACGTTGGACAATGGGAAAGGGGTGCTTTTTGTGCTACGTTTATATCATCAAATGTAACTACCCACTGGACTTAGGTTTACCAATAATTTGATAGTATAGGATGATAATCTGGTCATGTTTATTAATGAAAATGGAATCCAAGTTTATGTATACATTTTAAAAATACAAAAAAGATTGATAGAGCAAAGTAAAACATAACTAATAAGTAAGGAGATGGAACTTTCTCAAATGGGAAAGGGATCAAGAGATAGAAAAAGATGGAGGAGAAGAAAAGGGAATAAAAAAAGAAAATAGAATGTGTTATGTGCAATACCAACTCCAGACAAACCATATGAAGTTTATGTACTGCAAAGGTATACTAATAAAAAAGACATCACGATACTATCATTGATCACATAAAAGAAATTCACTTATTCTTGACTTTTTTAAAAAATTATGTATTTGGAGCAGGGTCTCACTACACAGCTCGGACTCTAGTGATCCTCCTGTTTTTCAGCCTCCCCATTGCTGGGATTACGGGTGTGTGCCACCATGCCCAGACTCTGTGGCCAGGGGCTGGCATGGTATGTGGCACTGGGGGTCAAGCCTCAGTCCTTGTGCTTGCCTAAGCAGGCACTTAGTCTGCTGAGCTATCTTGATGGCCCTTTAGGCTTGATTTTTAATTTCTCCTTTGTACTAATGTTTTCTGACTATACTATATATTATTTTTTAATAATAAAATGATACTTAAAATATTTTTAGAATCCATTAATAGCTTCACTTAAAAGAATACTTCGTCTCATTCCTACTGCTAATATTTTGTGTTTTGACAGCCATTTCAAGCATTTGCCTCAGGAAAGCCTCTCTTCAGTAGAGAAAACATGCAGGTAAGCATAACAGTATTTTATAAAAACTGGATACTTACTGGATTTACTGTGGGTGATTTTTCAGTCATTTCAATCTATTTGGGAGACATAATCTTTGGTTTTGAAAGCCTGATGAGATGTATATGTTTCTATTTGTAGGGTTTTGTTTTAGTCCAAAACTTTGAAGTCAAATGTTGTATTAGATCAAACTGATCTAGTTTCAGGATGGGCACATAGTAGTTAGTACTCTTGCTTTTCAGTTACAGATGGATGTTCAAATACCCACAACAACAATCTCAACTGTAATATTTATCTTTATTTCCTAGAAAGAAATGGCTGGTTCTTGGTTATTTAGAAAAAAAATTGGCCTGGTAAACTTTTCCATAGCGCATGTGTTCAACACTGCTTTTATTCATGTCCCTTTATCTCTTAGTTCCCAGACATCTACCAGTGGTTAGCGATGTCTGCCAATATCTACCAGTGGTTAGGGATGGCTAGCACCAATGACCCATGGTTAGGGATGTCATCATTTGGTCTTTTCATAAGTAGATCCTCTGGCTTCTGCAATATTTTTCCTGAAAAGAGTATGAGACTGCCACTCTAAATAGGTTAGATCCTGTCAATAGAAGAGCAAATAAGGACCAAAATGTACAATAGATATTGTGAAATGGGAAGAAATTGTTCAAAGGAAAAAGGCACTAGGGTAAGGGAAAAGGGAAGGAAGCGAAAAGGGAAAAGAAAGTATAAGCTAGTTATACTACTAGGTTTTTTTTTTTTTTTTTTTTTTAGTACACTGAAGGAAAGATTTGTGCTAGTATTATTTGGAACGCTTTTTATGCCCATATCTTGCACTGTAAGTAACTACTTTGCAGATAACAACACACAATGTGTTGTTAGTCTCATATTTATTTTGTTTTGAAATTTTATTTCTTCCATAAAATTAAAAAAATAGTTGAATGATTGGGATGTAAGCATTTGATGTCCTAGTTGTATTTAAATTTCTTTAAATAATTATGTAAATGGGGAAGGAGTCCCTTAACTGTATTTGTTTTTAAGTAACTGAAAACAGCAATTTGTTTTAAGCAAGGTATTTATTTTTATTGTGGAACTTGAGAGATAATTTGTCAAAATTTCATTATTTTTGTTTTCTATAATTTTGATAACGAAATCCCCACCTTTTATTAAATGTTATCTTATTACTTTTCATTTACATTTCATTACTTGTTTTTCATTTCATAAAGTTCCTTTCTAATTATGCTTCATATCATTCAATGTTTTCTGCCTAAAAATGTATTTTAATTTATAAGCAAGTTGTCTGAAATGAAAGAACTGGTATTAGTAAGATTTAAATACACATTCATACTTTATTTTCATGTTCTAAGACGTTGGGGAGTTGAAGAACATTTATTTTTTTCTAGTCAGAAGTGCCAGGCCATCCTAAAAACACTTCCTTAAGGAGCGGGTTTTTGGTATAAAAAGAATGTCTGTCTGATCATTTCTTTTTGTACAAAAAGAGACTGACAGTATAATGGAAACCCGATTTCTATTAGCTAATTAATTAAAACAGTAATGTTGGCCTGCTTAAGACTCTTCAGATTACACTTTGTATTTTCTGCATAGAGGGAGAGAAAGGAGTGTTAAATAGCATTACTAATTAATCTTCCTTTGATCCTCAAGTGTTTGTGTGTAATTGTCAAGGCTCATTAAATCACTGTTTGCTGCTGAAGGAAATGTCCTCTCTCCTTCCCACCCAACCAGTTGGAGTTTCTCTCCACGATGGTAGGGTTGACCATTTTTCTCAGGCAACGGCTTGGTGGCAGGGCAGGCCCAGCAGCTGTTAGGTGCCTGGCTGTTCTGCATGTCCTGATCTCAGCTTCTTAAGAAGGGTTAAAAAAAAAAAAAGAGGATAAACAATAGAAACAAACTTCCCACTGCCACCATTATTTTAAACTCTCCCAAGCTACGTCTTTGTTTCCATAGGACAAATAGTTTCTCTCTTATCTAAAATAGCTCTGGAAACTATGTTTAATATTAGCTAAAGATATTAGTTAAAATATTAAAAGCCTGTTGTATACAAGCCACCATTTGATGATAGCAGACAAAGCCATTAGTGAATCAGTGCTATAGATGAAATTCAATCCTCACAGAGCTCATACTTTAATGAGCAGGACTAGTAACAAACATGATGCATAAGTACACATTTAAAGGAGCAAATTATGTAGAAAGTTAGAAAGAAAACTGTATGGGTGAAAATAAATCCAGCAGTGTATTCAGGGTATCTAGAGCATTAGGCTGGGGCAGAGATTGTAATTTCAAATGGGGTGATCAGGTTAGTCTGTACCTGAAGCCAGATGCAAGTCCTGTGCAGTCAGCAGAAAGAATCATTTGGAGAGAGTGACTAGCAGGCTGAGGGGCCCTAACGCAGGATTAGCTGCTGTGGTGAGGGGCATGTTGACCAGTGTGCTGAAAATGGTATCGGTGATGGAGTGACACTGGGAAATGAAGTCAAGGGGTAAAATTGAGAAGGGCCTGGTGGTGCCACTGTAACTTCAGCTTTTGTCTGAGGAAAATGGGAGGCCATTGAAGAGCTTGCAGCAGAAGTATCGCCTGATATGCTTATGTCTTATTTATTTATTTATTTATTTATTTATTTTCAATGTGAGAGTAACGTTTATTAGGCACAAAGCCACCTGGAGCCTCCTGTGAGGCAGGAGCCCCACAGCTGAGTAACCCCTGAATATGGGCAGCTGTCCTGTTTTTGTGAGGTTGAGTGGTGGTTCCTCCCTCTAGGGTAGCCCCATCCAATAGAGTGGCTTGTTGCTAGGTTCAGTTCTCATGGGCTAATAGAGGAACTTGGGTACACATTGCAATAATTAGGGTAGACAACGTTACAAAGGTAAGACTGCAAAAATTATTTTTCTGCTAAACACTAAAGGGGCCTCTCTCCCTTTTCTGATCCTTCCTAAGGAGTCCCATCTATCCTTACAATATCAAACCAAGAAGGCATAACCATGTTCATATTTAATGTTAATAACTGGCACCTGTGGACGAATATATTAGATATGTGTTCTTCTGATATTTGAAAAGGCTCCTGCCCATCCATATCCAGTGTGGGTAGGGGTACCTTGATTCAAGAACTTAATTTGTTCTATGATTCAGGGGAAAATGGTTGTATTCATGTTCATTACCTGATGCAGAGTTTGCAAAGGGAAGCAACATTTTGCTGGATGCTTCTTCTGTTCATGAACCAAGTTGTTCATGAACAGAAGCGTTCATAAACCAAGGTATGACTGTGTCTCCCAGTCCATGAAGGAAAATAGCCATGGTGGGGACCTGGGCGGTGGACACGATGACTGGCCTCAGAGCAGACACAACTGCACATCCCCTGGGTTGGCAGATTGCACTTCAGAAACAGGAAAGAGAGCATGTACTTTGCCCAACGACATGAGTGGTGAGTCCCTGCCAGTGATACCAGGTGTGTGCACTGACAAGTGTATGCAGACGCCTTCCCCCATTGATGTTTGTTGTCTTTGGTGTGCAGTTGGGGATAGCGACTCTATTAGTTTGCTAGGGCTGCGATAGCAAAGTACTATAAACTGGGCTTATTTTTTTTTTACAGTTTCACAGCTGATTAATAGGACAGTTTTGATAATCAATACACTGTACTTTGTTATCTTAGTGGTTATCCATAGTACAAGAAGCAGACAGGATATTCTGTCCAAACACTGTTAGTACACCTCTTTCTTCTCATTGAATTAGGTGAAAGTAGCTGTAAATTTATCCTGACTATTTTGTATATATAAATACAAAATGATCTTTCCTTTGTATCCTTTTATTTTTGTCCTGTCAGAGGTGAATATTCTATTGGCATCTAAATACTATAGGTGTTTGAATTCAACTAAACAATCTAACACTGTCTAGCAGTCTATAATATTAGTGGGTTATCCTCAGAAGTTATTGACTTGAGCCTTT